TTTTTTTTTTTTTTTTTTTTTTGTTCTTGTTCTTTTTTATGATGTGTCTTCATCCACGTGGATCAATAGGGTTGTTTGGGGAAATTGTTTGGTTATCTTGTGTTTCCTCATCATGTATAAGTTGTGACCTTGCAATTGCCTCCATCACCACATTGAAATCTAGTTGATTGACTTATCATCGACAAGAACTAGGAATTGAAATTCAGGTGTTGATTGCAAGCTCATGTAATACGATTTACCCAGATGGTTCTCTTTCCTAATGAGTATAAGAAAAAACAATTTAGAAGTAGAATACTGGACAATTCACATGAATTTCAAATTAAAAGTAAATGCTCAATTGATATGAAGTAATCATTAATAGGACATTCAATGGTAACATGAATTTCAAATTAAAAGTAAATGCTCAATTGATATGAAGTAATCATTAATAGGACATCCAATGTACCATTGCAACATCCTCAAATAATGTTATAGTTGTATTTTAGTTATCTATCACGACATTCAAGACCAACCTATAACTGCAATGATTGAATATTTTTTTTTTTTAAAAAAAACATTTTTTTGTATACATAACATATTAGACATGGACTTTTCCTCATCTTAATTACCTTAGAGTTGTTGCCACGACTTTGTTGTTGCACTTTTTGCATGTTATCGTCGTTCTTCTCAGTTGCAGGGGAACATTTTAGACATGGTCTTTTTTAATAAATTATCATGAGACAATTTGATCTCAGTTTGTTTCAATTATCGTGAGTATGAAATCCACTACAAATGAGAAGAACGACGACATCGAGTCATGCAAAAATTGCAACAAATTCATGGCAACAACTCCAAGGTATTAAAGAAGACAAAAAGACCATGTCTAATATGTTATCTATACAAAATATATTTAAAAAAAAATATTCAATCATTGTAGGTATAGGTCGGTCTTGAACGTCGTGAGAGATAACCAAAATGTGACTATAACATTACTTGACGATGTTGCAATGGTACGTTGGATGTCCTAATAATGATTACGTCATATTGAGCATGTGAGTATACTATTAGTTTGAAATTCACTTTAATTTTCAAGTATTTTATATCTAAATTGCCTTTTTTTTCATACTCATTAGGGGCAACAATCATTTGGATAAATCGTATTACTGAGCTTGCAATCAACAACTGAATTTTGATTCCTAGTTTATGTCAATGATAAGTCATTCAGGAGATTTCAATGCTCTTGCAGAGGCAATTGCAAGGTCACAACCTATACATGATGAGGAAATGAAAGATAACCGAATAATTTACCTAAACAACCCTTCACACGTGGATGAAGACACACTATAAAAAATGAATAAGAAGAGAAAAAAAAAAAAAAAAAAAAA